GTAGAAATGAGTTGGTGTCAGAAAAGTGAATGGCAGAGATTACCCCGAGTACCCTTTTCAAATTCAAGCCCGTAAGAAGTTGCTCTTAGCCACATGCCAAGCTCATAAACTGGATTATTTTGGACACCTGCTTCTGAAACCAAATGGTCAAAACCAGAAGTTGGTTTTAATTGAGTTCATAGCCAGTTTCATATTCCATTTTCATGGATTTTCTGAAGGATGACTGCAACAATGACCATTCCACTTCCTCCCAAGGATCCCTTTCCCCCTCCAAAGACTGCAGACACATTTGCAGATCCTTGTTCAAATGTTGTACCTCCTCACAATGAGTCCACTTTTCCTCCATCTTTGAGACATGCTCAACCTTCAGCATCTCTGCTTGGGACAGTTGCTGTGCCTCACGCACCTTGGGGCTCCTCATCACCAGTCATTTGCTGGAAGCCTTCCCAGGCTGCCAGGTGAGATGTCAACACTCCTTTCCACCTCAAGTCAAACAGAACAAAGCAGTCAGAGACTACAGCTTGTCCCTTTCTGCCAAGGCTCATTGACTGTGAGGAAAGGGAACGAGCAGGAGAGGAGCAGATTCCCCAAGGGATACAGACAGCTTGTGGCTTGTGTTCAACATCTATCTGGGTGACTGTGTTCACTTGCAAAAACACCTGAAGAAACAAGGAGAGCAGGAAGAGGCCAGCAGGAATGCACTCAGATGAGTGCTGGCAAAAGGGGAAAGCGACTTGTGCCACTGTCCAGAGCAGCAGTTGGGATTCAGCACACCAGGAAATTTCCTTCAAAGCAGCTGGGATAGACACTACAGCAGGATGGCACTGAGGGGCATCACCCCAGCTCCCTGCTGCTCTGCAGGGGAAAGGCAAGAAGGGCACAAACCACCAGACTGCAGTGACTGCAGTGGCTATCGCTGTTTCACTCACTTGTTTATGTAGAAAATTCTTCTCCTGAATCAGGTGATTGATTTCCTCTTCCACCATCTTCATTTCTTCCTCCAGCCTCTTCTCCCTTTCCTTGATCCTAGCCCGAATATCCTGCATCTCTGCCTGGAGATTTTCCTTGCTGTCCTCTAAAACACATGAGAGAGACAGCTTGATGAGTGGAGTGGCTGCCACTCTATCACTCACCTTGTTTTGTTGATCTCTTCTCTGCCGATAGAGTGTCATCTCCTCTTGAATGTTCCTCATGTCTTCCTGGGGCCTCCTCTTCACTGCCACGATGGCACTCTGAGCTTCAGGCAACTCTGCCTGTGGCTCTGCCTTGATATTCTGTATACACAAATGGAGAACAAGTGACTGGGAGCTGCCATCAGGCTCAGCTTTTCCCTCTTTCAGCCTCAAAATCACACTCATTCAGTCACTTCTTTCTGCCTACTTAACCACCTCTGCTTCCACTGTAACCCTCCTGTCCCAGAGCTGATCTCTGCAGATTACAAGGCTCTGTGCTTTCAGTGCCTCTTGGACTCCTGGCCTCCTCAGTCCCAAGAGCTGTGTTTTATGCCCCTCTTCCTGCCCTGCACTCTGTCACCTGCTGAGTCAGGCTTACCTGGCCATTCTCCAGTGCCTCTTCCACCTGCTGCCCAAGCTGCTCTTTCTGCTCTCGGGCTGGCAACAGCTCTCCCTCAGTCTGGCATGGCATCTCTGACAAATCAATCTGCTCCTGCTCTTTCTCCAGAACAACCTGCACAGAAAGCAAGAGAACATGGGCTTCAACTCCCCACACAACATTTGTGGGCCAAGACTCAAACACTGATGGGCTCACACGTTCCCAAAGCACTGTGCTGATGCTCTCCTGGCTCGTTCTCTGCCCATGGGGAAACACAGATTCCAAAGTGACACTGGCAGTACAATCAGGGTCCAGCTGGGTCTGAATCCCCAACAGACTCTTGGGCAGCTGACAGGAAATGTGTGCCATTTCTCAAGGGTCTGCTGAGGGCCTCCCTCCCCTTCTGCTCTGTCCTCTTTGTGTTTCCATAGTCACTCACACTCAGCCCTGTCCCACAGTTCCACCCTGGCTCTGCAGGTGGCTTCCTGTGTGATTTCATCCCTTGTGAGAGACACTTGTGGAGTTCATGTTCTCTTCAGGCCTGCACCACCATTCCTGCCTTTCTGACATCTACACTCTTGCTAGAAATCCTGCTCATTCAGGAGATAAGGATGTGTGCAGTTTGATCTTCTGATGGAGGTCAGAGAGCCCCTATGGCCACCTGAGTATATGGAAGAGGACCAAGGTGTTTATCCTCCCTCTTTTGTCAGCTGAGAATTCTGAGCAGCACTAACAGAGATCCTCCAAAGGCCCCATCAACAAATGAATTGACACACCCCTAGGGATGAAGGAAATGAAGGAAACCATGTGTCATGTAATCCATGTATGACCAAAGTCTCCAAACTCCACCTAGAGCTTGAGATTGTTCCACTCCCTTAGGACATGCAGCAATTTGTTGCATAAAAAGAAGGTTTCACAGCAGAAGAGAGTGGAGGAGGAAAAGAGCTGTGAGGGGAAAAAACAACCATCTCTGCAGGGGGAATCATCTCTGCCTGCTCCAGATCAGTTAATGTAACCTGCCTCTCCTCCTCTCCTCAAAGGGATACCTTTAGGTGACCTTTATACCACCAACTGCTTTGGAGCAGAGATGGGAAAATTCAAATGGAATATTTTATATCTATCAAATAGATGATAGATAGATAGATAGATAGATAGATAGATAGATAGATAGATAGACAGATGGATCTCACTATTATAAACTCTCTTACTATATTTTCTATCCCTACACACATGAACACTTGGTAGCCAGTGCCCCCATCAGCAGCAGTGCTGAACTTGCTCTCCTGTTGCTTCAATAAATCACACTCTTGGGGAATCTGGATTGTGTCAGTGCTTTGCTGTCAGACCCAGAGCACTGCTCTGGGAACTGCAGTCTTTGTGCATCTGTGCTCAGACAAGTTCTTCTCTTGGACTCAAGCACACTGATGGTGCTGAAGTGGCTGCAATCAGAAATGAAGCCCAGCCCCTCCCAGCCTCTCTGATCTCTCAGCACCAGCTGGAATGCAAGGCCATTGATTTCCTGCCCAATTCCCAAACACAACACCTATTGATCAACCATGGGCTGCCAAAAGGCATGGGCACTGTTCACCTGAAAGTGATGTGCAAGCCCTGCTGTCTGGCCTAGCACCAGAACAGCTCCTTCTGCCCCAACATCCCCACCCCAAACTATGTGTTCTCCTGCAAAAATACTGCATTTTCCAGAACTGCCATCTTCCAAATTCAAATTCTAACAGAGTCTCTTCCAGTGCTGCAAGTGGGCAGGAAGGGTTGAGCCAAAGCACCTTTAATGGCTGCAGAAAGAGAAATTACACAGAGTCTTTTTTACAATCAAACCAATAGACAAATAAACAAAGCAAAAGATGAAACTGTCACCCATTCCAGGGTCTAATCTTCTTGGCTGCAGGGAGGGGATGTTTGGCAGGAAAGTGGCCCAAGTGGTGAGCACTGTCATGTAGGAATTGATGGAACTCTTCTTGAAGCAGACTTGAAGCACCACGGCACTGCCCAGCACAGGGGGACGCTCAGTGCCCTGCTCCTGCTGCCCCACTCTTGCTGACACGTGGCCAGCATGCCCCAGGCCTTCTTGGCCACCTGGGCCCAAGCTGGCTCACGTTCAGCTGCTGTTGAGCGACACCCCTGGGTGCTTTGTCCCACGCAGCTGCTCAGGCACCACATTACACATTTGACTTTAAAGACACCATTCAGAATCTGGAGATGTCTTTCCTGTTCTTAGCAACACAAGACAGCACTCAAGGACTTGCAGCTTTATCCCAGCCTCCAGGCTCCTAGGGAGTTTTCAAAGCTGCAGACTTCAGAAAGAAAAGTCTCAACAGACATATGGAGTCTCTGGTTTTGCCTCAGAAGAAGGGTTCAGAACTGTGCAGTTTGTGTCTTCTGCCACAAGAGAAGAGTGGCCCCACATGGATTCATGGACCACAAAATCATCTCTTTGCAGCTTATCAAAAGCCAGAAGAGACGTGGGCTCAGAGCACCTGTCAGCTCTGCTACTGACTGCTCTGCCTGAAGAGGCAAAACAACAACCCAGCAACAAAGGCACCAAAATCCCTGATTTCAGTGAGAAATTCCACATCCCCAGTGTGTCTCTGAAATACTCCCAGGTAAGGACACCCAAGAAGCTCATGGGGACAAACCACCCCAAAGCGCTTGTGTGGTCACATCAACATCTTTTGTGCCTGCAGCTACTTGGCCAGTCTGTAGGGCACAGGACTCTCCAGACCACAGTGTCCTCTCCAGAATGTGACATGGCTGAGCAGAGTGTCTTTGAAATGCTCCCTCCTCTGGGCACAGGGAGCCTTCATGCTTCAGGCTGGCCCCTCTCAGAATCCCAGCAATTGGGGGCCTAAACATGACAGATCAAAAGTCATTTTTCAGCTGCCATTGGCTGGGGTGACTTGCTAGGTGCTGGCACGACTCCAGCACTCAGCAGCCTCAGCTACCAACAGCAAGTGCCGGCTGCTCAGGAACTTGCAGCTGTGCCTTGCACTAAAGACAACACCAGCCAGAAGAGGCACTTACAGTCTCTGAATGTTCAGGCTGGGGTGTGACCACTGCTGGAGGCTCGTGGTCATTTTGCTCCTCTTTGGCCTCTTCTCCAGGAGCAGAGGGAGCCAGAGAAGAGTCTGCTGTTGGTTCTGGGCTCTGTGCAGAGATAGTAGTGTTAGGGACAGGCAGCTACCTATCATTTATAACCTTACTTCTATTCTGCTCTATTTCTACAACCAGCTCGACTAAAGACAAATCATCCACTTTGATAGCAGTGGGATTCTAAGTCACTCCAACTAAATGAAAATGGCTTAATTCAACTGGACTGCAAATTGTCTGAATTAGATCTCCCACCCTGGCTACTGTCAAGAAGCAGTGTTCTCTCTGCAAAACTGGTCTTCTGGTTCTTTTAAAGCACTGAAGTGGAAAATGAGGAAATAGGCAGCAATGCCTTTGCTATCACTGCTGCAGACATGGAAATGGATTTCCTTTCAGCCTACTCAGCTGGCCACCTACACTCTGCTGCCACAGGCCAAGCTCCCAGCTTGCTCCACAATTCTCCAACAACAGGAATATCAAAGGTTCCTTTCTCACTCACCTCAGGATCGGCACCTCTGAACACACGCCTCAGGTGACCTGCAGTGAGCAAGGGAAAATGAACGCAATGGGGTGAGAAAACTGCCTGGGCTGCTGAATCCCATAGAATAAGTGAACCCAAACAGAGGGTATTTTCCTCTGACAGCAACCCTCAGGGGACACAATTCTTTCACACATCCAACAAGGAACTGGGCAATATTCTTGCTTGTGCCTACACTTTGGCCTCTTTTGCCAGTAAGTGAACACAAACTTGATCAAGAACATGCAAAGTGTTCTTTAACACTCAATGCTCGATTCTTGTCCTACAGATAAAGTAGCTTTT